AGTATATTTGCACGTGTCCTCTGGCCAGCCGCAGCCCTCCACAGCTGGGATATGAAACCCAAGAGGAATTGCAGCAACAAGTGAATCCAAGAGCCCACATTTTATACAGGGAAGAACTGAGGCCCGAGAGAAAGCCTGTCAGTATCAAAGCTGGACTGAGAAGTTGCTTCCCAGTTTCCCTTCTTAAATCCTCCTTCTCCTCTTCCTCCTCCTCCTCCTTCCTCTGCTTCGTCATGAAACTCTTTTCCATCCTAATGATTAACATTGATCGAGCACCTACTGTGGGCTGGCCACTCTGCTAATTAAGGTGTGTCCCATTTGCTATAGCATTTAATTTATGCAATGAAGCAATAATGTGGAAAGACAGTTTTAATTCACTTTGTAGCAAAAGGAACTAAGGCTCCAAGAGATAAAATACTTGCTCAAGTACACGACAAGCTAAGGAGCAGACTTCCCAGCCTTGCTGGGAGACTCTGCTCTCTGCACTAGGTAGAGCTAAGGGCAGAGGAAAAAGGAAAAACCATCCCTGGAGCTTGCAGCTGAACAGGAATAGCACTCCTCTCTGTTCACACCTCCGTTATCGTGCTTGGCTTTCTTGTGCTTCATAGGTTTTGTGTTTTTTACAAAGGTTTGTGGCAGCCCTGTACTGGGCAAGTCCATCAGTGTCATTTTTCCAACAGCATTTGCTCACACCGTGTCTCTGTGTCACATTTTGGTAATCAATATTTCAGACTTTTGTATTATTATATTTGTTATGGTGACCTCAGATCAGTGACCTTTTTTTTCCTGAGCGAGATCAGTAATCTTTGATGTCACTACTATAACTCACTGAAGGCCCAGATGATACTAGTTACATTTTTTAGTAACTGAGGATTTTTAAATTAAGGTATGTATGTTGTTTTTTCAGACATAATACCATTGCACACTTAATAGAGTACAGTATAGTTTAGACATTATTTTATATGTACTGGGAAGCCAAGAAATTCATGAGACTCGCTTTACTATGATAGTCTCTTTATTGCGGTGGTCTGGAACCGAACCCACAGTACTTCTGATGTGTACTTGTATTTACTGTGTATCAGGCAGGCACTGTTCGCAACAAATCACACATTTTAACTCATTTAAATGTATGTTTCTCCTGTAAAGTAGTACTTTGTCATCCCCACTTTACCAATAGGAAGATTAAGGCACAAGCAGGTTTAATAGTTTGTCGCAGATGCCACAGAGGGTAAGGGCAGACAGCATTCAGGCCTAGGCTGTCTGGCTCTGTTGTCCAGGCCCTTAACCACTGCCTCTCCCTGAGACCCGCAGGAAACAGATCCGAGCTGTGGGTAGACTCTGGCTGTTCCAATCCCCTTGAGCTGTGGCAACGTATTGTCAAGTCTCCAGGACCCTCCCCTGGGGTCTGGAGCCACAGGATGTTGTATAAAGTAGCATCCCCATCCCTCTCCATCTCCTTGCATTGCTTTCTTCTTCTTCAGGAACTTCCAGCATGGTTATGTATTTAGATTTACTTAGTGCTTATGCCTTGTTACCCTCACTAGAATAGAAGCATCACAGGAGTGAAGACTCCACTGTATTCACCCCTCAACATCCAGTGCCTGGTAGTCACAGGTGCTCAGTACAGATTCATGGAAAGTCCTTTGGCATTGAAGGGTCTCTCAAGTCAGAAGGTGGCGCAGCAGGAAAGGGCTGGCTTGCCCTATCTCTGGGAGCAGCATTATTGCCAGAATTATGGATAATTTTCAGGCAAAAGAGAGACTATGAATGAGTTGGGACAGGATGCCTTCAGAGAGAGGTGACAGAGGCAGCAACACTCTAGAGAAACGTGAAGGGTCTCAGAGGAGATCCTGAGTCCTGGCTGACTACAATAGGATGTCCTTTCTCAAGCCCTTCCAAACCCTGGTAGGGAATGGACTGTATTTTCATTGCTGACCACAGAGGTCCCTTGTACAAAACAAGGCACTGGGCTCAAGAAGAAAGGGAAACTTCGAGAGAATTCGGCTGATGAAGTGAGAAGTCAGGTTCCATGCTGGGTGAGCAGAATATGGTGCTGAATCATCCCAGACTCCAGAGTCTAGCTTTTGGGACCATGGAGGTCTCTGAAGTGACTTGCCCTCCCTGTTCCTCAGTTTCACCTTCTATAAAATGGGGATAATAATAATACCTACCTAATGGGGCTGTATACGAATTGGGTGAGACACTATATGTAAAGTGTTTAGGACAGTGCCTGGCACAAGGCAAGGACCATACGAGAATTTGCTGGACTTACTACTATAGTGTCTGCTTCTGTTATCACTACCATAGGGAGCCCATCTGGAGAAGTGGGCTGGGCTTTGGGGCATGGAAACTTCCAGGTGGGAAACTGCAAAGACAATCAGACAGTCAGGCTTCACAGCCAGCCCCCCTAACTACCATGTTCTGCCCCCTCCCATAACTGGCAGGATGGATTTGTGGTTTGGACCTGAGACCACAGAGTCAGCCTGGCCTGAGTTCTGAGTTTACATCTGACTCCACTGCTTCCTAACAGCATGTGTATTTGGGTTCGTCACTTAATCTCTCTCTACCTCAGTGTTCTTGTTTATAATATCTGGAGACCAACAGTGCCCAGCAATAGTACAAATACTGGGGAAAGTATTTGGAGTGATACTCTGTTAGCTTGTTTTTATCATTAACATAGGCAGTAGAGAGTTTAGCAGCTCAGATCTATGGAAATGAATCTCTAAATGGACCTTTACTAATGCTATTCAGAGAAGCATCTTGTTTTGATGGAATGCAGCTCTTCCTGTCTGATGCACTTCTGTGTAGACCATGGATGACAGTTCCCCAGTCTGGCCACTAGATGGCATGCATGCCCTTTTCTGCCCTACCTGAGTAGGGCCGGATTCAGAAATAACATGCATGGGATGGAAAGCTACCTTTTATGGACCAGACATTGGGCTGCACCCTTTGCCTACATTCTTATTCACTCCTCGCAGCAATCCCCAGATTAAAGGAGATGTTCCACCGAAAATGACACAGTGCCTGAGACATGGTAAGACCTCAGAAAATACTGCTCTTCTTCTTATTGTTACTCTTATTCTCATTTTCACTGAGACACAGAGAGGATAATTAGGCCACTGGAGTCTGGGTTCTAAGCCAGACCTGATTGGCTATAAGTTCATCATCTTTTCCCCTAAACTTTCCTCCCTCTTTTCCATCTATGCACCGGGAACAACAGTGCACTAGTGGTTACTGACCTCATGGACTTTACAGTCCAGAATGGCCTAGTCTCTGTTCATTCTGGGGACAGGTCCACTCCCAGTGTGTCTTCCTTCCAGAAGGCCACAGAGATTTGGGTGCTACTGCCTGCTCTTCGCCCTGACGTCCCTCCCTGCAGGACCCAGTCATTGTAGGTCACACAACTCAGACTCCATCTCTCCTTTGGTATGCTGCTGCTTCAGAACAAGCCCATGGAGTTTTAAGTACTGCTGGGCATCGTCAAACCCCAGACTACTGGGCTGCAGTCATTCCACTTCACCAGTAGCTTTCAAATTGGCTTTGGTATCGAAAGGTTTTTCTGGGGTGTCTGGGGGTCCTTGAGAAGGAGACACATGATAGGAAGATGGGCTCACCCTCTGCGCAAAGCAAGAAAGCAGCTGGGAGGTCTCCAGCACTCCAGCAACACAGCACATCCTGTTGGGTCCTGAGGAGACTGGGCTCCCATCAGGATATAACCTCCTATTGTCCGGAAGCCCCCGCTCCAGTCAGCTGCACAGGAAGAAGAATCTATTTGACAGCTTCCTGGTTTGTCTTTCCCAGCTTTGTTAAATTTGGGTTTTACTGAAGATTGGTCACTATCTCTCCACAAAGGTCTAGTGGCATTGAGCAGCAGTAATCTGATTCCTGCCCACTCCTCAATCTGGATTTTACACAGCTGGGTAATGAAGCTAAGTGAGGGTGACCCCTGGAAGCACTTGTCTCCAAAATCAGAGAATTGGAACCCTGGACCCAAGTGTGGGTCTGTGGGTATGTGTGTTCACTTTTGTTTCTTATTTTACAAAAGCAATTTATGTTCATTACTTAATCAGGAAAGTAAAAAGAGAACAGCTGTGGTTTTACCTCATTTATATTCTGGAAGAGATCTGGAACACATATTACATGGAATATTCTGCTGCCACAGTAAACCATCAAAAACCACTTCACTCTACCATGATAGATGGAAGGGAGATAAATTTTGAGGTAATTCTGAGAAAATCTCCAGGAAAGAGACTATGTTTGGGAATGTGTTTTGACATTTGTTTCCAAGGTGTTAAGTGAAATAAAGCTAGACAGGAAAAAGGAAGGAAGGGAGGGAGGGACGGGGAGAGAGAGAGAGAGAGAGAGGAGAGAGAGGGAGAGGGAGAGAAACAAAGAAAGGAAGGAAGGAAGAAAGATTGCATGGTATCTTTTATATGTGGAATCTTCAAAAACAAAAATGTTAAACTCATAGAAAGAGAGTAGATAACTGGTTGCTAGGAGCTGGGGGTGGTGGAAATAAGGAGAGGTGGGGAAAAGGGTACAGACTCAGCTATGAGATGAAGAAGGTCTGAGGATCTAATATAAAACATGGTGACTGTAGGAGATAATACTGTCTTGTATCATTGACTTTTGCAAAGAGAGTAGACCCCTCCCTGCTCAAAAGATAAATATGTTGGGTGATGGGTATGTTAACTAGATGGAAGGAATCCTTTCACAATGTATATGGCTATCTAATCACCATGAGCTACTCTAAAATATCTTAAAATTTTATTTGTCAATTATACTTCAATAAAGTGGAATACACAAGTAAATAAATTAGTTTCCAAGGACACTGAGATTTAAATTTTGAACTGTAGTATTTGGGGGATTATCTGGGACCGCACTTGCCACCACCATGGACTTGACTCATTGGGGCTAATCCTATGCTTCTGACCTTGGTGAGGCCTTTGGCCACCTGCTGCTAATCTGCTGCTGAAGACTTTGCTCTTTCTGTGTTGCAGTGCCCTGGTTCCCAAGAACCATTCAAGAGCTTGACAAATTCGCCAATCAGATTCTCAGCTACGGAGCGGAACTGGATGCAGATCACCCGGTGAGTCCACAGCCCCTCTGATGAGAGTCTATCAGTTCCTTCCCTCCCCACCCTACTCCCATCCCTCCTTGGGAGCAGTGTGTCTTTGTTTGCTTGGACAGCAAACATTTATTGAGTGCTACTTAGACATCATCACCATCATCATCATCATGGTTATTATCTTTGAAGCAAATACAGCTCACCATCCAGAAACTACTGTTTTTATGTCACATATGGATGTAAGTGGTGTGTATACACACACGCATGATCACACACAACACACATGTAAATCATCTTTGTTTCTGATTTGGTCCAGCTACAGAGATTTAAATCAAGTGCTTGGGGAGCTGAACAACTAACGACTCTACCAGGTGCCATGGGGCAGTGAGGAGTGGTGCATTGGAAATGGATTTTAAAAACTGAGGATGAGAGTCAAATAAGGAAACAAGGGGCTTTATGAGCTGAGGGAACAGCATATGCAAAGGCTCCGAGTCCTGAAAGTGTCCGGAATACTTGGGGAATGGCTGGCTGGTGTGTGAGGGGTGAGGGTGAGAGTGTCAGGAGATGAGGCTGGAGCAGTGGGTTGTGGTCAGATTTTAAAAGGTCTAATATATCAGAGAACTAGGACTGTGTCCTGTGTCCCATAATAGTTTCTGAGCAGAGGACCAGGGTCAGGGATCTATTCCCTTTTTCTAGGGCGGAGGGTTCCTGGGAGGAGCAGCCCATAGGTGAGAAGTGCCACCACCACGTTGACTGTCCCTTACTCTCTGTCCTGTCAAGCGGTTCCTCAGTCTTTAAGTGACTTGGAAGCTGCCTGCATTCCGATGTTTACTATGACTCAGCAGGAGCGTCTGCTTTTGGTCAGGAGTCTGTTTTCTCCTCACAGCTGCGTGGTCTTTACCTTGAGCAAGTTGTGAATGTGCTCTTCACAAAAGCTCTTTTCAGGAAGCAGACTGGATGTTCCCATTTTACAGACAGATTCAGTGAGGACTAAATGACTCTCCTAAGGTGAGGCGCTAAATTTTGGGTCCTTCGACTCTTACCTCTGTGCTCACAGCACCTCAAGACAGAGGTCTAGCCCGTGGCAGAAATTCAGGCTCTTTTACAGAGACCAACAAAGAGCTCTTTCTGGGGTAGGCTGGCCTTTTAAACTAGGAAGCTGTTGCTTGTTCCATTTCAAATAGTAAACCCCTTAGAGTAGACTCGAAAATACAGGAAAGCATGAGGAAGAAAATGAAGATCACCCATAATCTCGGTTATTTCCCTTTTTTCTCTTGGTCCTATTCTGCATTTTTTAATACTGAGAAAGTATTTTATAAACAAAAGTGAAGGTGAATTCCCTCCTGCTCCTAAGCTTCAAAACAAACCCAACCAAAAAAATCACTTATTACCACACTGTCCTAAAATAATATTTCTTTATACACAGGTGAATATATACATATTTTATATATTTTTTAAACGCAGTGTCATAACTTACTAACCGAGCCTGGTCCACTTTTGCAATAATACTGTCTGCAGTGAGGCTTCTTGCCTGTGCGTCTTTATGTGAAGTCCCCATAGCTCCTTTCATTCTTACTTGTAAAATTACTCCGTCTAAGGACAGAAACTGCATTTCAGGCTCCTCAATACCCTCTCCCTCCAGACACTAGAAGTCAAGTTTGGATCCTGGCCCCATCTCCCTGGGTAGGATGCAGCCCACTCCCGTGGAGCCGGGGTGGCAGGCGCCGCCCCAGGAGCAGCTCTAGACTCCCGCGGACGGGTCTGCCTCGCGGCCTCAGAGCTGTCTGCCCGGGGAGGAAGGCTTCTGCAAAGATGTTTCTTAGAAAAGCTGTCTGGCCGCCCTTGACTCAGCGCACGGCCTGGGCCCGCTGGGGTGTCCTCTCCTCTTGCCAACCTCCGTCCTCCCGCCCGGACCGTGTCCTCTCTGCTGGCTGCGCTCCCGGCTCCTCCGGAGCCATGGGGAAGGAGGCCAGTCCACAGACACGGCCTGTTCCTCCCTTTCTTGTGTCTCCTCAGAGGCAGTCGGAGCTGGTCTTAAAACTCCCTGGAATTCATTCTCTTTACAGACCCAGCCCATGCCTTTGGCTCCCTGGCCTCTCAGTGTCATGAATTTTATCATTAAAATAAAATTTATCAGATAGATGGTCCCCTGGATGAGGAGGCCAGGCTCTCTCTGTTCCTTCCTGTGGCGTCTCATCTGATCCTGGGAACTGACAGGCCAGGGACAGAGTAAACCCTCCAGGGTGCTTCCCAGAGGGGCCTGGCCTGATGGGAGGAGTGGCTAAGGCGTTCTTCCCGAAAGGACCTTCTGTTCCTCTCCGTCCCCTGGAGTTCCTGAGGCTCCTCCATGACCCCTTGCCCTTGGCAGTGTGCACTGTCTGACCCAACATCTCACTTCAGGGCCTCGGGAACAGCTACTTTGAGAAGCAAGGCCAAGGAAGGATTGTTCCCGAAGCACAGGGTAGCGGGCATCTGCCTTTCAGCGTCAGGGAATCAGAAACTGAAATGGGCAAGCTGACCTCCCCCCAGCCATCCCACCAGCCATCCCACCAGTCTCGTGCCCCCCCCGCCCCCCTCCCAACTTCCTTCCACCAAGGTGTCTCAAGCAAATGACATTCAGAGCTCACATTTCTTGAACGTGGACTGTCTGCCAAACACCATGCTAAATGCTTTGCCCACATTTTCACACTGTAAATGTTATAACCATCCTGGGCAGGTTGTATTTTCCCCTTTTCAGAGGAGAAATCTCAGAGAGGACCCTTTGGCCCTCACTTGTATGTGAACTGGGTCCCAGACCATGTCAAGGAAAGGGGGTTGAAGTGATTAGTAAGACATAGTTCCTGCCCTCCAGGGGCCTTCAGGCGTTGGGTAGAGGGGGGTGTCTGCTCTTCCCAAAGGGTGGCAGAGGGGGCCGGGCTACAGCAGAGCAGGCAGAACTCAGATGGGTCTGTTTGAGTCCCATCCCTAAAATTGACCCTCCTTTCTCGGGCCCTTTCTCTGCCTCTGTGCTCCTGTTCGTGTCATTTCCTTTACCTGGGGCACTTTCCCTTATCCTCTCACCTCTTCTTTCCCTGCTGGCAAACCACTACCCATCTTTTAAGGCCCAAATCATGTGTCCTGTCTTCCCTAAAGCCTTCCACCTACCTCTTCCCCAGGCTAAGCTTTTCACACTGATCCTGTAGAACCGTGTGCACTGTGTTTTACCGTTTGAACACAGAGTATCAGATCAAAATAAATTCACTACTTCACTGGACTTATACAAGTGAAGGGTCATAGGCATGGTTCCCAAACAGCAGTCTATGAAAAAAAAATCATGACCAAAGGGAGAAGTGCTGTATTCTAGAACCTTATTTTAGGCACAGACAAGCTGATTACCGAATGTGAAGGGAGAGAAGAGGAGAGACGTAAAACGATTAATTCCCAGGTTACTGGCTTGGGCAATCAGGTCCAGATCTTTTCCAGAACACTTTTCTTGGCCTTACTGGTGGTGACCATGGCCAGCAATGCAGAGTGGGCGAGGGGGGAGGTGTGGTCAGGGCTGTCCTAGCCTACTGACTTGCAAATCTTTGGCCAGTGTCTACAGGATAGCAATAGCAGATACTTTAAAAATACTGCTTTGAACTTCTTGTCTCCTGTGTCCCATCCTTCCTCTAGTTGGTGTGAGACTGATAAGATATAGGAAACCTCTTATTATTGCTCTAGATTGAATATAAATAGCAATAGATCCTATTTAAAAAGCCGAGGGATGGGTGATGGGACTCGGTGAACTGTTCCAGAGCATATCCTTTTTATATTCTGAGCAAGACTTCTCAGCTTTTGGATTTCCCACCATTTTGCACAAATGCATCAGTTTTTGAGTCTCTCCTCTGTACTTGCAATTTTCCTTAATGCCCTGCTTACATCACCTAATCTAATCCACCCACCACTGTGAGGTAGCTACCATTAACAGTTTTGTTTTACTGATGAGGAAACCAGGGGTCTGAGAGGTGAACTGACCACCCTCAGGCCATGCTTCTACACACTGAATGGGTTAGTAGTCCAAGCCAGCTTGTCCGACTTCAAAACCCTTGTTCTTCTCACTAGTCTAAAGATGGCATTTCTGAGGTTTAACCTCAGCCATGATGTTAAGAAATGACAAAACAAGATCCCAGTCTAGAAGAATACTCAGAAGGCTTTTCTATATAGTTACCCTCTCCCCGAGATCGCCACTAAAGCACAATCCCACACTTCAACACCCCAGTCACAAAAAATGCTTCCATTAGGAAAACTGATTGCACGTGGACCGCAGATGATGTTACAGCTTTGCATCCTGCAGCGTTCTCTCCACTTTCTCCCACCCTCTCCTCCTCTCTTCCCACCCTCCCTCACCACTCCGCGAACAATATATTTTCCTGTCAAAACATACTTGGTTACATGCAGTGCAACCAAAAGTGCTGCTATTAGCTTAATTGAGACAGGATGATTATAAAGAAATTACATGCAGTGCCACTGAAATTGCTGCTATTAGTCTAAATTGAGACAGGATGATTAGTCATTGCCAACTGTCACTTCATTCCTAGTGTGCTCCGTGTGGCTGCCAAAGCCCTGTGGCCCCCTGGCAGCCTGGGGGGTGCAAGGCCAGGTCCCTGAGGACACAGAGCTTGTTCACTGGTAGCTGAGGGCAACAGGCCATGCCTCCTGGTGGGTGGGGTCCCTTTGCAGGCTGATAATGAGCTTCTTAGAAACTTTTGAGTTGGAAAGGACCATGGTCAGAATCCTTCCTGTACAGGAAACCTGTGTCGTATATTGTATATGGCTGTGTGGATGTATCTCAAGTATAAATCTGTTGCCGCTTCCCATAATGACTTGAGATGGATTTTAATATTATCTTGCTTTTTTTTCAAATTATAAAAGAAATCCACACTCATAGTAGAAAAATTTAAAGGCATAAGTAGTAATAGAAGGATAAAACAGTTCCCATTTTCATACCATTTATTGGATTTTGGTGTATTTACTCCATCATTTCATTTACATACTATTTATATAACCCCTCAAACATAGTTGATACCTACTGGATATACAATTTTATATCAAGCTTTTTTTCACTGATGGAAAAATCTTTAAGCTCCTAGACAAAGTACGTTGAAGATTAACCATAAAGAGCCAAATGGGGAAGAAAAATTGTCATGGGCATCCCATTCCTGCAAGTGATGATGAAGTGGAAAGCCACTGGTTAAGGAATTCTTCACGTGTTTCCCTGGTTACCTGTCTCAACCCTCAAACCTCAACCCACCACCTGGGTAGGACCAGAAAACTCAAGTCAAGGTGCTGCTTCTGCAGTGAAGCACCCATGGGCAAATGACTCTGTAGATTTCACTTTGTTCGTATCTAGATCAAAAAATAAAAATGGATGTTCTCCAAGGCATCTTGCAAGTGCAAAAGTCTATACTTTATACTTACGGAGTGGAAAAAGCTATGAGTGTTAAATAAGACTGGTAGGTGAGGATGACTGCCAAGGTCAAGCATTAATGGTTGACAAACATTAATGTTTTTTTTGAGTCCTAAGTATGGAGATGCGGTCTTCATTTAGCCCAGTAGATAGGTTCCTAAAAGGGTGTGTTGGTGCTGCCTGGAAATCAAATGAGAGAGTCCAGTTTTCTTACTGTGTCATCCAAAAGCAATTTATCTTTACCCAGTAGAAGTGAGGCCAGTAGTGGTTTTAAGTTTGAAGATGCCTAAGCTTTCCTGCCTGTAATTAATGATTCAAAGCTGTTCAATGCTCTAGAGTAAACACTATAGTTCTACTTGTAATAACCATGTCATGGAATCTTTTCTAAACTGAATAGTAATTTATCTGGGATTTAGTTTGGGGATTAAAAATGTATGGTAATTTCACTTTACTTTTCCAGTGGGAAACATTGAGATTTCTACATTTCTAAAAAAACAGGAAACTCCTTTCTTCCTTCCCTCCCTCTGTTTATCTCTTCCTCCCCCTTATCCTTTCTTTATTCCTTGCCTCTATCCACAGATGTTTGTAGTTCTTTCTATATATGCCAGACTCAATGCTATGGATTCTCAGGCAAAATTACATTACATACATGAATGCTTGGTTCTTTAAAATTATTGGTAGAGCTAGATTTAAAAAAACAAACAAAAATAACCAACTAACCAACCAATCAAACAAAGAAACAAACAAACAGAAAACAGTATCTGAAAGTCAGGGAGTATCTGTCCTCTAAAAATATTCTTTAAATATTACTCTCCATGACACACGCCTTTGTTTTCGATTTGTTAATGCCTCGGTTTGGCTGCCTGGTGGGACAGAGAAATTGCAAGCTCAAGTGATGGAAGGCATGGCTTATTGGAAAATGCTTGGCGGGAACAAAGCAAAGTTCTACACTGACACTGGTGTCTTGTCTTGCTAAAATTCAGATTACAGTCACTTCGGGGGAGAAAATGACCCTTTAGCTTACTTTAATGAAATATAATTGACATATAACATTGTGTAAGTTTGCGGTATACAACATGCTGATTTGATACACGTATATATTGCAAAATGATTACCATAATAAGGTCAGTTAACACTTCCATCACCTCACATAATTACCATTTTTCCCCTGTGGTGTAAACTTTTAAGATCTATTTTCTTAGCAACTTTCAAGTATTTGAAACAGTATGGTTAACAATAAACGTCATGCTGTACATTAGCTCCTCAGCGCTTATTCATCTTATAACTGGAAGTTTAGCCCTTTAATCAACATCTCCTTGTTTCTCCCACTCTTCATCCCCTGGCAACCACCAATCTACTCTCTGTCTATGAGTTTGACTTTTTTTAGATTCCACGTATACGCAAGATAATATAGTACTCATCTTTCTCTGTCTGACTTACTTCACTTAGTAAAATGCTCTCAAGTTCCATCCACGTTGTCCGAAGGTTTTCTTTCTTTTTTATGGATGAATGACATTCTACTGTGTGTTTATACCACATTTCCTTTATCTGTTTATCTGTCAGTGACCACTTAGGTTTCTGTGTCTTAACTATTTGAACAAGGCTACAATGAACATGGAGGTGCAGACATCTCTCCAAGGGAGTGATTTTATTTCCTTCGAATACATACCTAAAAGTGAGGATTGCTGGATCATTTGGTAGCTCAATTTTTAATCTTTCAAGGAACCTCCATACTGCTTTCCAAAGTAGATGTACCAATTTACATTCACCCAGTAGTGCTCAAAGATTACCTTTCCTCCACATTCTTGCTAACACTCTTCTCTTGTCTTTTTGCTAATAGCTGTTGTGAAAGATATGAAGTGATAATCTCATTGTCATTTTGATTTGGGTTTTCCTGATGATCAGTCACGTTGAACATCTTTTCATGTCGCTGTTGGCCATTTGTATATCTTTGGAAAAACGCCTAACTATTCAGATCCTCTGCCTACTTTAAAATCAGATTATTTGATTTTTTTTCCTATTGAGTTGTATGCGTTTCTTATATATAGGATATTAACCCCTTATCTGATGTGTAGTTTGCAAATATTTTCTTCCACTTTATAGATTGCCTTTTCACTTTAACTATTTATTTGGCTGTGCAGAAGCTTTTTTGTTTGATGTAGTCCCCACTTATTTACTTTTGCTTTTGTTGCTTGTGCTTTCGGTGTCATATCCAAAAATTCATTCCCTAGACCAATGTCAAGGAGCAATCCTGAGAAAGAAGAACAAAGCTGGAGGAATCACACTTCCTGACTTCTAACAGTATTATAAAGCTATAGTAATCAAAATTGTATGGTACTGACATAAAAACAGACTAAGCAACTTACAGATTCAAGAGCCTAGAAATAAACTCACGCACAGTCAACTAATATTTGACAAGGGAGCCAAGAATACTCAACGGGGAAAGGATAATCTCTTCAATAAATGTTTTGGGAAAACTGGATATTCACATGCAAAAGAATGAAATTAGACCCCTATCTTACGCTATTTACAAAAATGAACTTGAAATGCACTAAAGACTTAAATGAAAGGCCTGAAACCATAAAATTCCAAGAAGAAAACATAAGGAAAATGCCCTTTTAACCAACTGGGATCATCTGCAACTCAAGTATGTGACCTTCCCCCCAACCCCAAACACTGAAAAACACACTTGGCTTCTTTCCACTCAGAAATGTGCTGCTTACAAATGTTTGGGAAAAGGCTGTCTGCAAGTTAGCCTCAGAGGAGAAATTATGATCATCCCTTTTATGTACTGAGGTAGAATCTCAGTTAGTTGAGCCCCTGCCAAGTTGTAAAGGTTGACATTTACTGAAGTGAAGTGAAAAGAGCATGGAACTGGGTGATTCCAGTCCTGGCTTCCCCTTTACTTGGCTCACCTTCTCCAAGCCACTGTTTATTCTGAAAAGAAAGGGATAATCATACTGGTCTACCTCACATGTTTGTTGTGAGAGCTATGGATAAAATAAGTTCCTAGCACACATAGACTGGCACAGAGTAGACATTCAATAAATGGTATTTTTTTTTTAAATTGCAATAGCAGTAAGCATGTACCTGTTTGCCTACCAAGAAGTTAGGAGTCAGTGTTAGACACCTACCATCGATCTGGAATTTAGTGGCTACTGTATATCTTCTTTATAGACATTTATCCTACTAACTCTGCCCTAGTTTAGCAAACTTACAAGCTGTAGATGCAATTCCTCTAAACTGTAAATTTCTATATACCGTTTGCACTTGGTGGAATCCCAGGGTAGAGGCTCACGCTGAACTGAAAGTGTTGCTAACACTGCATCACTCACAATATCTGGTGGGAGAGCTTACCCTCAGTTTAACTGAGACTTTATTTTCAGGATATAATCAAAAAAAGGAGAGATGTGCTGTCAGAGCTCAAGGGTTCCCATTCAAAGCATGCATTGATATGCCAGGTCTCTCCCATCGAAGCCTGGAGAAATCAAATGTCTCCTTTCTCCTAGGGTTTTAAAGATCCTGTATACCGAGCAAGACGGAAGCAATTTGCTGACATTGCCTACAACTATCGACAGTAAGTCCGCTCTGCTTGTTTTGGGGTGGTGGGGGGAGGAGCACACTTCTAGCCTGCCTCTCCCTTCCTCAGGGTTGGAAAATACCAGCATAGAGAATCCTGCCTTGTGTGTGTATTTGTATGTATGTGTGCATCTGTGAATGTATGTGTGTGTGTTTAAACCCTCCCTTTAATAACACGTTTAAAAAAATTGCTGCTAGACAAAACAGAATTACCCTCTGTGCCGGGGCCCAGCCCTCTCTCGAGCCTTGTTGTGTAATTACGCAGTGATGTCTGAAGTAGTGATAAAAGGCTTCAGTCCCAAATAAAACAGCCTCTAGTATTCTCCACGTTAAACAGGGAAGAAGGAAAAAGAGAATTATTTACATTCAAGAGGGAGTTGGCTGCTTTACTGAAATAGTGAATCGTTGGACGTTTCAGGCAAGCCAAGCCTTAGCGTTCTACTTTTATCTGATCTGACCCAGTTGCCAAGGGCAATTTTAGGATGAATCTATCTTTTTCTGTCTGGGATTCTGTGCTCCTCCTCTATCAGATTTTAGCCAAAGGAAAATGCAAATAGCAAATATATTATTTGGGAAGAGAACTGTTTTGCTAATTTGAGTCCTGGGGCCTACAGAAATGCTCCCCTGGGAAACTTGGTATTTGGGGACCTGACTTGAAGGTGTGAGAAAAGATGTGCTCAGGAAGAAACTGACAGGTTGTTCAGAACACCAAGGTTATGGTACTTCAACATCTTTGACAGGCTGTGGGGGAGATAAAGGACATGCTAGGGCTGTGTATACTGAATAAAAACCTACCCTCCAAAGGGAAGGACTTCCAGAGAAAATGATAAAAGTTTCCTTCTTGAATGAGCCCTGGTAGTAGAGGGATCCAGGACAGTGCTGCCCTAGGTCAGATTTAGGTCCACCTGGATCTCAGCTTGTGGCACGCAGGAAGCACAGAATGTGGAGACCTCTCTCCGTTGTCCCCACCTTGGCCCCAGCATGGTCAGTTGGACATCATCCAATCAGGTATCCTTCTTCATATAGTCAGTAGTAATCTTCAGATAGTTAAGGAGACAGTCAATAATCTCCTTGCTATGTCTGGGGCTTCACTAAATGCTTTGTTGATATTATTTCATTTAGTCTTAATAATAACTGCCCCTTTTTCAGATGGAAAAACTAAAAGCTTAAAACAGTTTAGTAACTTGCCAAAGTCATAGAACTAGTAGGTGGCATGATCTGGTTTGGAAATCAGTCTTGTTTAACTGGAAAGTCATTCTCAGGCACTTCCCTGAGTGTCTGGGACTCTCCGAGTCAGGAGACCACGCTTCGCCATGTAACGCAAGAGCTGCTTATGCAGTACATACACTCCTTCTTGGCTGTTGATATTTGGGGGAAATGATCTTCCTCAACCTCCCTTCCATAGAAAATATTGCACCTGATGAAGAAGCATGAAATTGGTTGAGAGCTTCATGATCCTGGATGGTCATTAGATGAGATAAATTGGTTACTAAAAACCATCCAGAGATGGCTGGTCCTGGGAGGAATGTCCAAGAAATTCTAGTCAATTTTCCATCTCTCATAAATGAGTCCCAAATCGTTAAACGCTGTACTTAGGGTCATGTGACTCGTTAGCAGCTGAGCTTGTTCAATTCAAAGCCGATTTGTGGCCTCATCTTAGCTCATTGCTTTTGAACTTTTGATGCTACTTACTAGTCCTTCCTCCTTTGAAATTGTCCTTTATCTCAGTATCTGGTACAGTTGATTCTCCTTATTTAAAGACTACTTGCTTAAATTTGAGACTCCCAGACTTGGGGCACTCTCACATACATTCCCAGAGATGCACAGAGCAGGGAAAAATGTGAGTCCTCTGATGCACAAGTTCCCAGCCGAGGTCAAACAAGGCCACGTCACCTTCTTGTTGCAGCTCTTCTACTGTAAACAAGTGCTCCCTTTGCGGTCTCTTTAGAGCCACATTTGTTGAATTTTTGTTCTTTTTGTTGGTAATTGTGCTGTTTAAAATGGCCCTCCAACATCCTGCTGACGTGCTGTCTAGCGTTTCTAAGTGCAGGAAGGCTTTCACGCTTCTAACGGAGAAAATGCGTGTTAGATAGGCTTCCTTCAGGCCTGAGTTGTAGTGCTGTCGGCTGTGAGTTCAGTGTGAGTGAATCGACCCTAGACATTAAACAAGGCATCATAAAACAGTAGCGCACACAAGACAAGGTTAGGTAAAGTGAGTTGAAAATGTCATGACCCTATTCCTGCATTTCCCCCAGCAGCAACGGTTCCGTATCCGCTCAGAGTTCGTGGTAACTTTATGAACAGAACTGCGGCAAATAAGGAGAATCAACTCTTCCACTCTCTGCTGGTTTCCCTCCTTCCTCTCTGAGTCTATACCGTTGCCCTTCTTTTCCTCCATAGCATTTATCACCGCCTAACTGAATTGTGTGGATTTTCTGTTTCCTACCCATTAGAAATGTAGGCTCCACGAGGGCAGGGGTATTTCCTTTTTATTGTGGTAAGAATACTTAACACGAGATCCAGTTTCTTAACACATTTTTAAGCGTACGATACAGCAGTATTAACCTTCAGACACAGTACTGTACAGCAGATCTACAACCTGTTGAACCACAATCTTCCATATTTCCCTCCCCCCAGCCTCTGGCAACATCCATTCAACTTTCTGCTTCTCTGTGTTTGACTCTCTTTTATATATATATATATGTGTGTGTGTGTGTGTGTGTGTCTATATACATATAGACACACACACACATACATACCTCTTGTAAGTGGAATCCTGCAGTATTTGTCCTGTGACTGCCTTATTTCACTGAGCATGATATCCTCAAAGTTCATCCATATGTTTGCATACAGCACAATTTCCTTCTTTTTTTATGCTAAATAACATTTCGTTGTAAATGGCAGGGATTTTTGACTGTTTTGTTCACTGCTGTGTTCCCAGAGCACTGTGGGTGTTTAATAAATATTTGCTGAATGAATGAATGAATGAACGAGACCTAGGAGACCATATGATAGTGAAGATTCAAAGTGGTAAGTCAGAGATGGAGCTGGGAATTTTATCTGCAACCACCTGGAAGGCAGCTCTAGCAGGTTTTGATTGTGTTACTGGGGTGGGGGTGGGCTTTAAAATTTTATCTAAGAATACACTAAATGGATTATAAAAGTTTCTATCTTTCAGCTGCAACTCAACTCAAACAGAAAGAGGGATTTTATTGGCTCCTAGAAGTGAAAAGTTTAAGGGGAGTAGTTAAGGCCCAGGTAGATCTGGGACTCGGCACCTCATTCTCTGTCCCTCCGCCTGACTCTGGTGTCCCCCGAAGTGGCCTTGCTCTGAGGCACTGGCCTCATCTCTCTTGGAGGTGGACCGCAGCACCGCCAGGCTGACCCTGCAACCTGACTAGAGGTTCTGTCTCTTTCCAACAGGATCAACTAAAAGTTCTCTCATTGAGTCTCACTGGCTCTGATTAGGACATGGGCCCATCTCTCAGCCAGTGACTGTGGCCAGGGAAATGAGGCACTCTAATTGGCCAGGCCTGGTCACATGCCCACCTCTGAAGGTAGGAGGGGTGGAGTCTCCTCTCACCTGACTGAGACGGGAGAAGTTGCTTTATTGGAAGAATGGGAATGGATATTGAACGCCTGGCACAGCAAATGTCAACCAGGGAGCCATCTCAGCGCCCAGGATGTTACTCTCTCTCGAAAATTTGTAGCAGAAATAGCAGATACCTTTCTGTTCAAGTAAGACTCAACTATAATGATAGTTATCACATATGCAATGGTATTATTTGTCAACATTAGTGTTAGGTACTTTATACATAGCATTTCACTTGTCTCCTCCACACCCTCCAAACAGTTACTTGTTATTAGCCCACAGAATGGCTGTACAGATTAAGCTCAGAGAGGTTTACTCAGTTACCCGAGGCCATTCAGCTAGGCAATGACCCCCATCTCCACTAGTTTCCAAAACCTGTACTTTTCCTTCATCAGCACGTAGCCCTGAAACAAGGGCACATCCATAGGCAGATTATCTGATCTTTTCTCAGGCCCTACTGGCCATCATAGAACCTTCTGAGCTAGACTGGCTGTCAACACTTGAGCAAAAAATCTTTTTCCCCTAATCCCTGCCCATCTTTCTGTGGAACATAACAATGACTTTGCTTTAATGTCCTTGGATGAGCTACAACTCTGAAAGGGCAAGAGGGCCCTAGTTTGGAGCCTAAAGATGATCCATAATTCTAAGGTAAACAGTCTCGCCCTGTCCCAGACTCTGTGTTCCCTATTAGGGAACAGGCCTGAGGCCCAGAGAACAGTCACTGGTCTCTGAAGTCAGGCTTTGTTTGGTTTTCATTTGTTTTTGCTGTTCAGAACATAGCTCACTCTTAGACGGTTTTCAAAGGGACCTTTCGAACTAATGACTCAAATTATAGCATACCACCTGGGAGCTTATTGGAATCCAGATGTCTGGGCCCTCCCCTCCCCCACAGGCTCAGTTCTGTGGGGCAGGGTCCAACATACATCCTTTAACAAGCTCCCTGTAGTTTTGTTATGTCATAGTGGCGATGCTAGGTAAGTGGATCTTATACTTAGCATGCATTTAAATACCTTTATTAACTTCTTAGTGATAGAAACATCATATCCAGCAATTAAATCCATCCCCACTAAACAAGAGGTTTAAAATTCATGGTATATATATGAAACCCACTTTAGTCCACAGATGTAACTGCTTTAGTTGACCATATAAAAAACACTATGTTGTTTGGCTTGAACTTGGATTTGCCTGTTTTGAGAAAGAGGATACTGTCTTTGGTTGTCCCACCCTCCTATTATCTGCACTTGCTACTTTACATATTTATGTTACAAGCCCCTGAAAGTAAGTGAATTTCCACACTGGGAAATAACTGGAGAGACAGGAGAGCAGAAAAGCCAAGTGATTTCCCAAAGTGAGAGGAAATCCTTGGGGCGATTGGGGAGGCAACAGCTTGCATCCTTGCCTAACCAAATCACATAAACGTTTCCTGTATCAAGAAGTGGAATTAGCCTCTTTCAAATAACTTATGAAATCGGCTGTTGTCTGGGGACGGCAGCTCACAAGCTCTGGACCTGTCTCCCTCTGCTGAAGCTCATTCATCACTACTCTGCACCTGTCCTATTGCACACAAAAATTTCATATCTGTATCCTAGTGGGGAGCCCATCCCTCGAGTGGAATACACGGAGGAAGAAAAGAAAACATGGGGGACGGTGTTCAGGACCCTGAAGTCCTTGTATAAAACCCATGCTTGCTACGAGCACAATCACATTTTCCCACTTCTGGAAAAGTACTGTGGCTTCCACGAAGACAACATCCCCCAGCTGGAAGATGTCTCTCAATTTCTGCAGAGTAAGTCCACCTCAGGGTCAAAAGATTTGGAGGGTGGGGTGAGAAGGGGAAGAGAAGTAAAATTCAGGTGAGTGTGGGTGTGTTTGTGCTGATGCGGGCAGGTTGAGTCTCTCAGGAAAAGCAGAATTGCACTGCCGGGCTCTGCCTCCCCTCGAGCCTCCACTGCTAGTCCAGTATCATCCAAGAGAAACCGTTAGGCAAGGATTTTGCATAGCTATGTTCCTGAAAAGTATTTTATTTTTTATACTCAAAGTCCAAGGTACCTAGTCAGGGTTCTCCTTACAGCTCCGGCTGTCTTACAAGCTGGCTGCAGTGTGTATTTGTGTAAGAAATGTTGGGGAAGGAATAAATTAGGGGTTTGGGATTAATAGATACACATTACTATATATAAAATAGATGAACAACAAAGACCTACTGTACAGCACAGGGAACTGTATTCAATTTCTTGTAATAACATACAATGGAAAAGAATCTGAAAAAATACATATGTGTATTTATATGTATAACTGAATCACTTTCAGGTGCTGTACACCTGAAACTAATATTGTAAATCAACTACACTTCAGTAAAAAACAAAATTAAAAAAAATGAAATGTGCTATTTGTACCAAGAGACCTGAGCTCTAAGTCCATGCATCTGGTATGAATCCTGCTCTGACCCTCTCTGGTTGGGAGAACCTTCCTTAGTTTAGTCATCTGTCCAATGGAGATGGTCAGCCTTTTTAGCCTTTCTCATAGGGAAATTGTGAGAATGAAATGAGGTCGTGAATGTGAGGGCGTAGTGCTATGCACTAGGTACAGTGGGTGCTCACTGAATTTGGGCTGAATTGGAATCTGAGTAACTCAGAGGGTAAATGTTATTGGGTTGATGGGCTTCTGCCCACCATTTCCAGGGAAGATAAGTATTTCCCTTTCTGCTAGGTGGTGTTAATTCAGCAAAATCAATATAGTCAGCTAACACACATTAAACACCAACTGTGTGCCAGAGAAAATGAAGGAAAGTAGGAAGACTGACCACAGGCTTATAGAAATAAAGAGTTTTCTATGCCTCTGAGCTATGCGGAGATGGCATGGCCAGCTCGGGGGGCAAGAAGCCAGGGAAACTACCCAGCGGGGGGGGGGAGTGGGAGCTGAATCCCTTCCATTTAGAGTCTTTACTTCTCAGATAAAGTGAGGAGTGGGGCCCAAGCAGATCAAACTTCAGCCTGAAGGTCTAGGGCACATAAGCGGAGGGGCAGTGGGGTCTTAAAGACATTCTTTGGCTAATTACTCATGTTGCTGTGGCCAATAACAAGAATAAAACAATAATACTAGCAGTTGGGGAGGTATAGAGTAGTAATTAAGGAAACAGACTCTGAAGCCAAACTGCTGGTAGCTATGACCTTGGGCAAGAGCCTCAACCTCTGTATGTCTCAGCTTCTCCATCTGTAAACTAAAGCTAATGAGAGCATCTACCCCTGAGAGTTATTACGAGGATTCATTAGTATATATAAGGTGCTTAGAACAGTGTCTGACATATGGCAGGTATTATTAGTGTTAGCTGTTTTTATCATCATGATCACTGTTATTACTCCACCAAGTTTGAAACAAATTGAGAGACAGTTAGAGGAACCAGAGAGATGGGTGGTCAAAACATCAGCTTTATCACTGATAAAAGCTATTTGGAGAACGTGGTATAGATGTGCAGGCAAAATGGACTTCCTCATAGTTCACCCCTTGATTCGGTCACCTTACTTGCCAATTCACTGGCACAGCGTGTCACCCACTGCCTGGCCAAGAGCAGACCAGAATGTGCTCCCGTGTAGACAGTGAAGAGAGAAAGGGCAGAAAGAGTTAAACTGAGAATGTTCATTTCCTCTTCTCAGATGCTTCCATCAGAGAAGGCTCTACTCCTCATGGGGTAGTCTGTGGGAAGCACATACAGAAAAGCTGGGAGTGCTCCTTTCATACTCTTCCCTCCTGGGAAGTGGAGTGCGAATTCCCTCCGCACTCTGGAAACACGAGAAGTAGGGAATAAGTGGTCCCCCCTAACAAACATTAATGAAAGCTAAATTTATTGGATGTTTCAAATGTACTAGGCTCTGTGTTCAGTACTTTATATTTATTAGCTCTTCTCATTCTCACAATAACCCTAAGAAGTATCTGTCCACATTTTGCAGATGAGGAAACTGAGGCTCAGAGAAGTGAAGTTATTTGAACCAAATCACTCAGCTAGAAAATACTGGGGCATAGACTTGAAGCCAGTTCTGCGTGGCTGTCCACGCCCATGCTCCTGGACAACTGAGGGTACTGCTTCCATACCTAAAGGTTTTCAGGCTTTCAGTGATGAGGCGTTGAATTTTCTTCTCCTTTGCTTCCCAGCTTGCACTGGTTTCCGCCTCCGACCTGTGGCTGGCCTGCTTTCCTCTCGGGATTTCTTGGGTGGCCTGGCCTTTCGAGTCTTTCACTGCACTCAGTACATCAGACATGGGTCCAAGCCCATGTATACACCTGAACCGTGAGTACCGTCCTGCTACTAGTTGCCAGCCACAGTGAGCCCATCTCTCGCTGCTCCAGGAATAAGGTTTGGGTTCACCGTGGGCGGGTCCACAGGACCGGTTGCCTGGATTGTTTGATGATAGTACTAAGAGAGAAACTCATCTCTTCTGGGGAGTTCCTCTGTCCAGACTGTACTGATTGGAGATTTGGGCATCTTGTGAATCAAAGAGTCAGATCTGCTCTGAATGAGAGAATGAGAATTCAGATTCCAAAGAGACTGCAGAAGTCAGAACTACAAAGGTCCAAAGGAGAAGAGGAAGAAGGGATGGCCAGGCTATTTCAACACCTCCTGAAGACACACATCTGTGTGATTCTAATCTCTCTTTGCCAAGATTGTGTCTCAGTTGGTGGTAGAAGATGACTGGCCATTATGCTTCTTAACTTTTAGCCACCTTCTGACTAGAGATAGAACTTAAGCAATTTATATAAAAAGTCAGCAGGACACTCAAAATGATCTTTTTCTGCCCACAAAGTTCATTACTATAAATCAGAAAAGACATGTTCCTAATAAGCCTGGCACATAAAGTGTTAAATAAATGTACGTTTTCTTCTCTGACTCCAGAATATTATTACTATTATTTAGTTCCCATGCCAAAAGCAGACCAGAATGTGCTCCTGTGTGGACAGTGAAGAGAGAAAGGGTAGAAAGGGTTAAACTGAGAATGGATTTCCTCTTCTATTCTCAAATACTTCCATCAGAGAAGGCACTGCTCCTCATGGGGTAGACTGTGGGAAGCACACAGAGAAAAGCTGGCAGTGCTCCTTTCATACTCTTCCCTCCTGGGAGGTGGAGTGCATACTGTATTTGCCCAGGGATGTCAGTACCAAGGAGGAGACTTGGGATGGGGCACAGCTGACCCACAGCTCGCTCAGGTGTACGAGAGAATGCCCATTGGCTCTTCTGTTCTGCATCCTACCGAGCATACAGCTGAGACCCCCCCGGCTGTTGTGCCTGCCCTTTCCCTTACTTTTCTTTCCCCTTCTTCCTTTTCTCTTCTACCTTGTCTCAACTGATCCCAAGCTTCACCTGCCACTTATTCTTAGGAATGAGGTGGCAAGAGTGAGTGAGTTGCTTCCTTTCTTCCTGCACACTTCTCACATAGAAAGACCGAGTCCAGCATGGCAGATAACCCTCCTCCCCTCCCAGCTCTGTGCTTTCTGTTTTTCAGTGACATCTGCCATGAGCTGTTGGGACATGTACCCTTGTTTTCAGATCGCAGCTTTGCCCAGTTTTCTCAGGTGAGGAGCTGATCTCTTTAGCTTTCTAGTTACAGGGTTGAGACCTGGATTGCTCACATAAGTTAAGTCCATGGAGGGGCCCTCCCATCCTCTGTAATGGTAGAAATCATGTACAATTCTGTGATCTCATCCCAGATGGGTATGTGGTCCTGTGGAGCTGGCTAATTACCAGTTCCACAGACTACAGGGTGGAATGGGTGAATCGGTCATCTTCTAGATTACATGTGTGTTATTGATTTAGCTAATCTCACTTGTTCTACCAGGTGGAGTTTAAAAGCCTTTTCATCCATGAAAGCTTCCCTGATCCCCATGCAGCAGTAACCTCACCTTCTTCCAAGTTCTCCTGGCACCTTTCCCCTCCTCTTTAGGGACTTTGCCACTTCCTGCCTTGTCAGACAGTCATCCTGGTATACACTTTAATTAAGTAAGATGGCATCAGCCAAGAATCCAATGCTGATAGTGTGACTCAGAGTTGGCAGAAAATAAAGAGCCAGTTGCCTTGCCACCCTCATCAAAGCAGCAGGCTAGGCTTTGATCATCTATCACAGTGGTGAGCAGGCTCAAAAATGCCTTTTGGATGAATGAAAGAATCCTCCTAATGCTCTCCTGGCACTGAGAGGCAGCCCCAAACCATGGCTGGGTAGCTGGGATGGTCGAAGAACTGAATGGTGCAGTTGTGTAGCACAGGGCAAGTTGCCAGGCCACCAGGTGCTTCAGTCACCACAGATGTGGGTCAGTAAGAAGCCCTCCCTGGTAATCGTCTTCCCTCAAGGAAGAATAACGACCAAGTGGAATGACCCATGAGCAACTGCTGGGCCAAGTATGAATTTCAGAGTAATGGGATTACGTGTGAATTTCATAAGCATTTTCCCTCATCTGAAAGAGATAAGTATTTTACACTGTTGAATGAAGAGGCTACAACTTAACAGCAGAAACAAACAGAAAGCTGAATTAACTGCTTGCTAAGCAAGGAAGAATAGTACTTACTAGATGCAACCTCTTCAAACAATGAAAATGGTTGCTTTTACGTGGGTTTTTGGGAATTGTGAAGTTCGGAGATTTTGGACTTTTAGCAGTGGGAGTGTTTAGAAGTTAAGTGAACTTTTAATTGTGGAAGTATCACCACTGGACTGAGGCTACTGCTGACCAGCTGACTCTCAGAAGTGTGATTCCTGTTGCTAAGATGTCACTGATTATTTGAGGTAGCTTTAAAACCAGGATTAGTTACTATGAACCCCCGCCCCACCAAAAATCAGTATTTTTCCTTGGGGAAGAGGAACTTTCTATTCTAATTACAGAAGTTATTCTGCCCAGTCAGAGGCTAAGTGACCATCCCCCTCAAGCTGTTTCCATTTTGGGGATCTCCCCAGAGGAGGGGACAGGTACCTGAGTCAGCAGCTACTGGAGTCACTGGTGTTCATGGTTGCAACTTTGACCTGGCCAGTCCCAAGGCAAAAAATCATTTTGAAAGTTCCCTGAGCCACATTCCTTTCGGATCTAAAAGCAGGACTTCCTTCCACTGGAGTGCAGTGTGGAGGGGGGATGAAACACTTTGGGCCCCTTGTTTTAGGCAAGATCTGGGTTCACAAATAATGGTGACTGTGAGCACAGGGCACTGTTTCAAAACTTGGATTTATCAATGGCTTCTGTTAGACTCAGGACTGTGGCATGTCTGGGCAAGGTGGGTGGAGCAGAGATGGGGAAGGGGTAGGAGAGTGGAGCCAGGCTAAGTCAGTGTCTGAATTTGGTTCACTCTAAATCAGACAGCATTTTCTCAGCATATGATGGGCTGGGCCCAGGGAGGGATGCAGAGGTGAAGACCGTGTAGCTTCTCACTTCAAAGTGGCCCAGTGTGGGTGGCCCTGGCGACTGTCATGCTAATGAAGTAAGCCAGAAAATGAAAAAAATACCATACGATATTGCTTATATGTGGAATCTGAAAAAAGGAAACAAATGGACTCACTTACAAAACAGACATAGAAAACAAACTGATGGTTACCAGGAGGGAAAGGGGGTGGGGAGGGATAAATTGGGAGTTTGGAGTTTGCAGATACCAACTACTATATATAAAATAGATAAACAACAAGGTCCTACTGTATAGCACAGGGAACTATATTTAATATTTTGTAATAGCCTATAATGAAAAAAATATGAAAAGGACTACATATATATAAAACTGAGTCACTATGCTATATACCAGAAATTAACATAACTTTGTAAATTTACTATACCTCAATTAAAAAAACAAAAGTGGGCCTGGTCCTTAGTCCTTCTCTCTGTCTACACCAGTTCCTTTGGTTATCTCATCCAATCTCATGGCTTTAAATACTGTCTCTACTCTGATGATGAACACATTAATATCTCTAGCCCAGACTTCAGTCCCAAAATTCAGACTTCCATATCCACTTGGATGTCCAATAGACTTCTACTCATCCTGTCCAAAACAGAGTTCCTCACCTTCCACTCAAACCTTCTCCAGCCACAGCTCTCCCTATATTAGTTCATGGCAATTCTACCCTTCCAGTTGCTCAAACCTAAAGCATTATTGACTCCTTTCTGACAAGTTCCACAATCAGTCTTTCATAAAATTCTATGTGTAGAATCTATGGCCCATCACATCCACTGCTACCGACCTCATCTCAGCCCGCTTGCTTGTCACGCTGATGACAGCAGTCATCTCCTAACTGGTCTTTAAGCCTCTACCCTTGACCTGCTACAGTCTATTCTCATACAACAGCCAGAGTGAATCTTTGATGACACAAATCAGATCTTGCCACCTCTCTGCTCAAAATCCTGCAGTGGCTCCCCATTTCACTGAGAGGATAATCCTAAGCCCTAAAATAGCCAAGAAAGTCCTACATGATTGACCCCTCTTTGAAAACACCTGCTGCCCCCCACCCCTTACTCTACTGTAACCACAGTGGTCCTTCCCTGTTACTTCAACCAGCCAACACTGCTCTTCCTTAAAGAGATTTTTTCATGGGCTGTACACTTGGCCTATACAGTGCTCTTCCCACCTTTCCAATGATGCTTACCCTAGAACCTTATTTAAAATCCCAGCCTCTGCACCCCCACCCCACTTTCCTGGCACTCTTAGTTCTCCCTTGTCCCTTTCTCCTTTTGTTTCTTCTTTCCAAAGGACTTACCACCTTCTAACATACCTATGTGTATGCTTACTAATTACTGTCTCTACCCACTTAAATGTAAACACCATGAGGTCAAAGGTCTTTATCCATTTGGTACCCTGCCTGCCACATGGAAGGCACTGAATAAGTATTTTTGGAATGAATGTCTGCATATAGTAGGAAAGAAATGTATATATTTGTATATATAAACTTTATCTGATACAAGGCAGGCTGGAGCAAATACTGTGAAAGAGACAGACCACAAGGGGAATTTTGCATTTGGAGCTACAATGAGAGGTGGTCCATGACATTTCAAATGCTCTAGCTATGTATATACCTGGACAGACATCAAGCATCTCTGCAGGTCTCCTGTGATGTCTTCAGGGCACATCATTGAGTCTCATCTAGTGCTCCAGGAATGTTCCACTTGAACTATGGAAGAATAACCACTGAGCCAGAGTCAAGAGATGAAGCTTTAGACACGATCTACTGTGTAAGCTTGACCAGATCGTCTCCCTTCTCTGTGCCTCAGTTTTCTCATCTGCAAAGTGAATACAAAGGACCAAGTGATGGAGAAAGGCTTCCCCCATTCTAGAGATCTGTGATTCTATGATATGTGGTCAGGGAAGGCTAGACAGAACAATCAGTCTATCTGGGCCCTTCTCAAGGCATCTAACCACCCATCCCCTTCCTGTGGTCAAGTACAAGGTTGGAACTGAGGGTAACAGTTGGAGGTCAGCAGATCCCAGCCATGCCAGTGACTTTGTTTCTCCACAATTACAGGAAATTGGCCTTGCCTCTCTGGGTGCACCTGACGACTATGTGGAGAAACTTGCAACGGTAAGTTCCCTCTCTCCTTGGTGCACAGTGGGAGTGCCTCAGATCTCTGAAGCTTTGCTTCTTCCCTGAAAGCCAGGTCCTTTGGGGGAAAAATCAGAATGCCCTCAGTTATGTTTGCACAAGTGACATTTCACATCTTGAACAGATGTCTACATGTAATGTTAAATAGGGTGTCTTGAAAACACCAGCAGGCTAGAGTGATAGTCCTTGAGAACCACTTGTGGCAAGTATCTGGATTCACAGCTTCAAAGACGGAATATTTACTCTCTACCCCTGCACTGGAGCCAGCATTAGGATCGCTCCTTTCTCAGACACTAGGTAGAAACGAGGGTGGGCTTCCCCCTTCTAACTGAACACTTCCTTCTCCCCAGTGAAAATGATGACACTCATGGAAACGATGGAGGCAGCAACTCTGCATGGCAGGGACTTTCCTTCCCACAGACCTCTTTCCAACTTGAGAGCATCCCTCCCCAGGCTCTAAACCACATTTCTTAGAATGTGCTCAGCTTGGAGGATGAGAAATAAAACTTTATAATGGAATTAGGGAATGCAGATGAATAGAAATACATCCTTAAGATGTGTCAGTTTAGAAGTTTATGAATTCAGTTTATCAGAAGGCCCCAAACTCCTGGATTCCTTCTCACTGACCAGCTGCTCTGAGACCTTGGGCAAGTAGTTTTTGCTTCCTCATCTCTAAAAACAGGTACAGTTGTTTATATACTACCCATCTCAAAGGGATATCATGAAGGTCTCGAGGGCCTAAAGAGTTAAATTTGTGTGAATGTGAGTTTTTAAGTGCCAGGTGCTGTAGTGATACAAAAAGCAACTTTCCTAGAACTGGCAGAGCTTGAAAGTATCTCTCACTTGTAAGAAGAAAATAAACTCAGAGCATCGTGTGACCTGCTATAATAATGATAAAATATTCATCACCAATCTGACTTTAAAGAAAAATCTTATTATTGATATACTGAGCCAGGAACAGTCTTGGGGTCCCTGCTCTGCTGCTGAGTTGCTGTGTCACTGCATACATGTTGCTTGACCTCTCTGAGCTAAAGATTTCCCATCTGTATGTGAGGAGGACAGACTGACTGAGTTCTGACAGCCTTCCCAGGTTTAACATTCTCTAGTGCAATAAACAGACTTTTAACTAGAAATCCACCCCTAATTGTCCAAGACTGTGACTCTCTCCACAGCTAACTGGGTCTTGGCATTCTCTTAGCCCTGTTCAGTAGGGTGATGTCAGAATTCCAGGACCATATTTCTCAGGTCATTTATCTAGGACATGTTGGACTGAGAGCTATTGAAAGAAAAGGATTTGGTTATTTGGGACGCTAAGTGCAGTGACTGACAGGGTTTTAACACAGACAGTTGGATGATGGGGATATTGAAGAATAACCTCTGAACTGAGAACGAAGTCTGAGTCCAAAAAAAGGAAGCAGGCAACTCCATATGATGAAGTTTACTGTGGGCAAGTTACATACAGGCAGGGTTGAGTGGATGACGAGCCAGAGGCATTCACAGCCACACTCTGCGCCATTAAAAGGGTACAGGGGGATTTAAAGAGGCCAAAGCTAAAGACAGAATCTGACTACTAAGGGAGATGCACGCCCACACCGACAGGAACCAGGGTTTTTCCCTCCCGCTGGGGGGAGGGTGTCTCATGATCATTGTTCTTTGCGGGCCGTTAACCATCTGCATCAGCAAAAGGCATTCTTCCAGTTTTCATACCAGATGAAGGGAAAAGTATAAGTCAAAGGGGAACTTACCTGGTCTGGGTGCATTCCTTGTGAGTAGGCTAGAGCTCAAGTCATGAAGAAAGGGGAGGGGGTTGGACTGCGGGCCTAAGATGGAGCCGACAAAATGCAGTCAGTGTGGTTCAGCCGCACACAGATGGGAGGCCCCCGTCGTTGATTCTATCACAACCCAATCCCCTACCTCCCACTGCAGAGCCTGATGGGGTTGTCTGGTAAGTCTAGCCAACTTAGGGGAACATCTCGATGCCACAGAGAAGAAAGCAAAAGGGGTGGAGGAGTTCCTGCCAGAGAGAGTCACTTGTTGGAGGTACCCTTTCGGGGCTTCTTCAGTACTCCTCCACTGCTTCCCATCACATCTTGCATTCAGCCAACTCTTGATTGACCAGGTGACTTGATAAGGTAAGATGTAGGACACAAAACATGACCCCAGGTCATGATGATCAGAGAACAGACCTGCACAAACTCTCACCTGGGCAGTCCTGTCCTTGGCCCTGTGTCATCTGCTGCCTTTCCCTTCCTTGGGGTGTGCTTTCAACTTAACTTTCCATTTCAGATTTACTGGTTTACTGTGGAGTTTGGTCTCTGCAAACAAGGAGACTCCATAAAGGCATATGGTGCTGGGCTCCTGTCATCCTTTGGTGAATTGCAGGTATGACCCTAACAGGAACCAAGGATGGATTTGAATTCAGTGGGTACAGCAGCCCATTCTTCTCTTTGTGCCTTTGAAACCCACTTACATGCACTTTGAGATTCAAGTTGCGGGCTTTTCCTCAAGTGATTTATCTCTTAGCGTCTGTGATTTGGTCAAGACTGTGGGTGTTAGAGGTAGAAGTTAAGCTGCAAGTACATGGGTCACCAGGAAGAGGGGCCTCCTGAGCCCAGGGCTGAACTGTGCATCAGGATGTATGCAAATACACACCAGAAAATGGGGTTGGCTCACAACTGTATTGATCATCTTCCTTGAAAATGGTTGGGATAAAATACTCCTTTCTATCTTGATGTTGGCTTTAGATGAGCTGTGAAGGTTATCTAGCAGATGCAAAATAATTTAGTTTACTGCATTTGGGCTGGGATGTGGAAGGAATCAGGATGAGATGGGAGGGGATGCACAAATGGCCTATGGGATGTGGCAGGAACTGCCATCCCTGATTTAACCATGAAATTTTCCACTTGGGGCCTGCAGTACTGCCTGTCAGGCAAGCCGGAGCTCCTTCCTCTGGAACTGGAGAAGACAGCCGTGCAGAAGTACACAGTCACGGAGTTCCAGCCCCTGTATTACGTAGCTGAGAGTTTTAATGATGCCAAGGAGAAAGTGAGGTGAGGGGGTGACCAAGGTGGGTCGGCAGCTCTTGGGACCTCCTGATGTGGTCTAGTGCCACTGATCTGTGGGTGGTTAGCCAGGAGAGTGCATTCCAAGACCCACAGCAACAGCATGCATCAGACAGAGTTATCTCCCCAGCCTCCCCTCCCTTGTCCCTTTCCACGTTCTGTTGGGAGAAGTTCCTTCGTGGGACCCGACCCCTATTTCATAGCTTATTGGCTGAACATACTGACCCCTGAAAATAGCTCTGCCACCTGACCCCAGCTCTTTGCAGCCACCAAGTCCGTGGACTGAACTCTCCTACGTACAGGGTGGCCACAGAGGTCCCCCTACCAAACCAATCCTAGAAGTCTCTTAAGCTGGGGAACGCCCTTGTTCACTTTATCCTCCTAGATAGCTGCATTACTTGCTCCTTCACACCTTCATCCATGTTCAACCTCTGTGTTTCTTTCTCTGACCAACCTATTTAATATCTCTACCCGTCCCTGCCCGCCAGTGCTCCTTCCCCCTTTCTGTGATTTATTTGTCTCTTTAGCACTTATCAGTGTCTAAAATCTTACATGATTTAAAGTCCCTGAGGAAAGGGATTTTTGTCCTTTCTATTTCTCACTCTTTCTCCACCCCCTAGAACAGGGCCTGACACATTGTAGGTACTCAGTAATTGGCAAATGAACCAGTCTCAGAAGCAGCTCAACAAGAGGCTGATGGAATGGTACCCGGACTCTGAGACTTGGCTTTCTGAGACGATGACCCTGCCATTAACCTGCTTGAGCAACTCTGCCTCCAGCAGGAGATAGGCCAGGAAGAGGGTCTACCTGGGCAAGGCAACCATGATACCATTTTTTACCACTTCTATTTTTCTATCTTATCAATGTTGGATAATAGACATAAGGCATATCAGCTCTGGGACCCTATGAAGCTAGGCATGTCAGCTTTCGATGCTTTGGGCATAGGTAACCAAAAGTAAAATGCTCGCCCACAAATGTGTTTTGTTTGGCCCCAAACAACTCCCTCTCCCCCCTTTTTCCGGTCCTCAAGTCCTCCATGCCATTCTTGTCTAGTTTTCTTCTAAATTTCAATCCCTTACTGGGAGCCTTAGCCTTCTAGCCCCTAAAAGTTACACTCTGTCATTTCCGAGACCCCTTTTGGGTTATGGATTTTAGTGGATTCATGCATTATTCCATCTAGGTAATTGTAGTAACAGGTAAGATACCTTGGACCTATTTTGTACCAGTGTTCTAAGTGTTTTTCAGGCATTAATTTATTTAATCATCAAATAAGACTACAAAGTGTGCAGGTGGGTGTGCAGAAGCATAGAAGGGGTAAATAACTCTTCCAAGGTCATGCACATAGTAAGTGTCTGGCCGAGGGTCTGGACCCAGCAATAGGGCTTAGTTTAGAGCCAGGACTCTTAACCTCTGTGTCACACTGGGATCACACGTAGACAGCCTTTCTGGAGATGACCCCCAACCCAAGAAGTGATCAGTCATAAGCCAGCAGGGAAGACTTTGCCAGGATATGGGCCTCTCAGGCCTTTGAAATCCCACCTGCTCTGCTAGCATCTGGGGTCCGGAGGAGACACCCACAAAAGCTCCAATCTGCTAAGCGATGACTCACAGAGCCAAAGAGAATTCTAAAGAACAAGTTTCAAAAAAGGAAAGGATCTGAGCATCTCTGGGATACCCTCAGAGCACTGGCTAAAAGAAACCAATGCCGGTCATTTTCCATTTCAAGATTTAGCAGAGATAGGGCTGAGTTTGGCCATGTACCTACTCCGTGGCCAGAGGAGCGCTGGGCCTGAGACTTCAGTGGGGTAGAGGTGGATTCCCCAAAACAAAAATGAGGTGCACTCTGGGAACAAGAGAGAAGAGGTGAAGAGCAGGCCAGGTCACAGGTAAGTATTACCTGGTTTGTGTCACCAGGTCGGCTGAGAAAGCTCTTTTCAGAGAAGAGAGGGAGAGAGATACCTAACTATTTATTCGTCATGAGTCCTCAGTCACCCATAAAGATAACAGCTAGCACTCACACAGTCCTGCTCTTGTTCCAGTTTTACAGAAGAATAAAGAAACCGAGGCGCAGAGGAGCCCTTTGCCTGTGCCGTGAGGGCTGTAACTGGCAGAGGCAGGATCTGAACCCAGGCAGTCTGGCTCAGGAACTTGGGTTTCCCGCCACTCTGTTGCACTGCTCTTGCCAAACTTGGAGAGCCCCACTAGCCTGGCTTATAACTGTCTCAGTACCGTGGCTTCTACTCTCACTGGAAGACCTTAGAGATATCATTTGTGATGTCTTTACATTTCACAGGTCATTGGGGACTATCTTACGAATTATATTGTTTGATATCTTTCATAAAGCCCTCATGGTGCATTCCTCCCAGACCCAAAAGTAATGCATTGGGAAAGCAGGGAAGTGAACAGCCCAGAGTCAGGCTACCTCCGTCCTTCCCCAGCTCCATAATGTATTGCCAGCATGACCTTGGTAGTCACTTAGCTTCCTCAAGCCTCAATTTCCTCATCTGTGAAATGGGAATAGTAACGGCACTTTCCTCCTAAAGTTTTAATGAAGATTAAGTTAGTAATAACAGTTGCTAAGAGTATAGAACAGTTTGGGTACAAGGAAGCTTTCCATCTGTGTTAAATTTCATTAACAGTGTACTGTTTTCTTCAACTCTTAAGAGCTATCTTTCCCTCTTTGCACTAATTGTCAAGCATCTCAAAGCTTATTTTTTTCTGCAACATTTTTTGCTGGATTTTGCTTACTCCTTTTATTTTGTTTAATGATAAGAATTTTGGCCTTATGTTCTGTGCTTTTATTGTAAGCTACTTCTGACTTTTGGGAGGTGAGTGACTAAATACCTATGTGCGTAAGTGTGTTTGTGTATACACACAGACACACACATACAGCACGCAAAGGCTTCCGAAGAGGACCTCCCTTCTCAGCTTGGCTTCTAAAGCCCCTGTTCTGTCTGGTGAGGTTTCTGTCCTGCTAATAGTGAGGTTCAGTGTGCTACTCAGTGAAATGCCACTGAGAACTCTTTTAAAATTATTTTTCCCCAAATGGTGCCCTTCACTCAGATCTATGGTTTTGGTTTCAGGAACTTTGCTGCAACAATTCCACGGCCCTTCTCGGTTCGTTATGACCCATACACCCAAAGGATTGAGGTCTTGGACAATACCCAGCAACTTAAGATTTTGGCTGACTCCATCAATAGTAAGTAATTTATACCCTTTGAGGCCACTCTCCCATAAATACAGGATTGTGTTTTCTCACCTTCACCAGATGAACAATAAGAATTGTATTAAATATTTAAGAAGAAAAGTATCTCCATGCGTGACTTATTGAGAGAGAAAAACTCGGCAAAGAAGCCAAAATTGCCTTGAATGTTCTTTCTTCTTTGACCTTCCTAGATTCCACCCCACCTCCTACGATCACAGGGCCTTTCTATCCTGACTTGTCACTGCCAGGTTCCTTTTTCTCCTTTGCATCTCCATTCCTTTTTCTCTAATTGTCCACTGGATCTTTTCTCTGACTGGAGTATCAGCCCCTAAGAGACAGGTTCAATCTACCTTATTAACCATACAGTACCCACAGATCCCTCTCTCAGAGCACTTACTGTTATATTTTTTGTAATTGCTTACTTGTCTGTCTTGCCAACTAGACCTGAGCAGAGGGGTATATCAGGTTTGCTGTCAAATCCCCAGCATTTAGCCCTATTCCTAAAGATCATATTAGATTGAACAAATGCACAACAACCACCAAAGGACTGAGCCAAGAGGGAGAAAAATGTAAGCCAAGCAAGGGTTCCTACTTGTATAATGCTAACAACAGCCAAAGGGCAGATGGGTTTGAAATAGCCCTCTAGCACCCTTCTGATGTTGCCTGAGGCAACTTCTGATACGCAGAGTTAGCCCGTTATAGCCATTCCCCATTAGGCGTGTCGTCTGCAGTCAGCCGCTCTGGAAAAGCCCCAGGCTGCTCACCCCTACGCATGCAGTCTTGGATACTCTGCTGGGATAGATCCGTTCACCAAGGAGTCCAGCCAAGGGCTCTGGAGGCTGGGATGTGAGACAGGAGGTGTTTTCTCTCTTTTTCTCACTTCCCCGAGAAAACAAAAATAACCCCATAGGCTTTTGTTTATAAGGGAATTTTGAAAATCACAGAATAACAAATTTAGGAACTGAAGGGTCCTTAGAGCTATGTGACCTGATATTAGGCCCCATCACCCCTCTGTGCTTTTATTTCCTCAGGATCTAGGAAGGGGTGAGGCATATCTGTCTCCAAGGTGCCTTCCTCTTCTTTGGGGAGGCTGTGTCCCTGTGGCCTCTTGGTGTGTAGGAAGTTCAGTGGTCTGACCATCTAGGCTGAGTTACCTGCTTAGGCCGTGCCTTCTCAAACCTAGTGTGCATCAGAATCACCTGGAGGGCTAGTTAAAGATTGATAGTCCTGAGTCATATCCCCAGAGTAAATCCACTAACCTTGTGGTAAGACTTGGGAGTTTGTTTGTAGTAAGGCCCAAGGTGATTCTGACATAAGGCGCTTGTGTGAACCGCACTTTTAGGTTCTACGGCTTAGCTCCTTGCAAGCAGCTGTGGATGGTCATGTGAAAGAGAAACAGAATAGCTAATGATTCCCTGGGGAGGAAACCATCAACGCTGTCCCTGAGAAACAGCCTAGGGAAAGAGCAAGCCAATCACATTAACAGCCCTGGCATTTCCTAAACGAGGGATCACCCATGCCAGGCAGCCCAAAGCTCCCACCCTAGCCAAGCTGGATGTTCCCTGAAGGTTGGGGAACCTACACCCTACTGAATCCCTCGTGTTTTACACACTGTGGACACTTGAAGGGTGTTTGTTCATGATAGGAGTGGCTCATCTGTTTTCCTTTGCAGGTGAAGTTGGAATCCTTTGCAGTGCTCTCCAGAAATTAAAGTGAAGCCATGAACAGAACCTGATGTGTCAACTGAGGATCTGTTGATAGAAACTCAATTACTTCTTTTATTTCATCTGAAAAAGTCTGAAAAGCAAGCCTTAGTTTGAAATGACAGCCTTAAATCCTTTTTAGAACAAAGTGGGGGGATCAACAAATAAATCAAAATAATCTGAAATGACAGCGTATTAATACATACCCAAAAGCAGAGTGCTGGGTCTTTTAGGGTCACCTTTGATTTAGGGATGATAATCTGTACTCTCAATTGAGTTAAAAATCAATAATCTGTCACATTTCATCAAAGTTAATTAAAATTTGGGACCTGCTTTCTTCAGCCTTCCTGAATACGTTTGTTAACTTGCCGTAGAGAATGCCTAAAGGAGTATATATATCACTCAATGTGAAACGCAAGTCTGTCAGAATTGGATTTCTGGATTTCATATAAATCTTAACCTACAAAGGTCATTTTCTGTTTCAGTGAACTATGATTCTAATTGCTGCTTTGTTATTTTGCCTTTGTAGATCTTCTTTAATTCAGGAGCCTGTTAAAGTACTTCTAAACATTAAAGTTCATAGCATGGTATCAAAATATTTCTGTATGTTTTATTATAATCGTAAACACTGCTGTGGAAGGTACTAGAACTTACCACCTGACTCCCACAACTTGCAGTGTCATTTTCCAGCTCATCAAGTGTGTTTGGGGACACATTTTGAAGACACTTAAAATGCAGTAGATGTTTATCAAAGGCCTGGCTGGTAGATATTCAGTAAGTATTCATTGAATGAATAGGTTAATGCATTATTAAATAGCAAATCCAAACAAAAGTGAGAATTTTAATTTTGTTTAAAAAACTTTAGTGGTTACAAAATTTTGCAGTTTCAAAAGTTTCTTGGAATGAAATATTCCTCCCAGTGCCATAGGAATATATTAGCTGGATAAGCTCGTGACATTAAAGATGATCAGAGTCTCAGAATCCCACCCCATTGCAGGGGCTTACTGTGATAATCTAAGCTAAATCTGGATAGTCAACAGACTTTGATTTTTGTTGCTAGTGCATTTTACATGAATATGTGAATAGCTGAGAAACAGTGGAGAGAAAAACAATGTCTTAAGAGCTATGCTTTGAAATTCTCACACTACTTTAATATTTCATTTTGGAAATAGTTAAATCTTAAAGGATTTTTGTAGTATTTCTTCAAGTGTGATTCTCAGTTGTATCATCATCAAAAGTAAATCCTAGGCACCATCCCAGCTCTACCCAGCTAGAATATCTGGGGATGGGGCACAGAGACCTGCGTTTTAAAGCACCCCGAGTGATTCTTTCATGCCCGGCCACGTCTACTGGGTACATCAAGTTTAAGAAAACCTGACTTCTGACCACTTGCCAATTACATCACCTTGCATAAATCACGTCCCCTCTTTGGCCCTCGGTTTTACTCTAACAATGAGGGAGTTACACTGGATGAATCAAGATCCCTTCCAGCCTTGAAATACAATTCAAATGTGCTAACACATGTCTTTAAACAGCTGTCCCTAATCCACTAATAGTGCGTAATAATACCCTCATAAGTATGTCAGCTGGGTGGAGAGAGCAGTTTGGTCTGAATATGTCTGAGGTTTCATTGCTTTGAAGCTGGGATGCTTTCTGTCTGTATCTGTTTCCTCATGCCTTTGAAGAACCCACTGACATGCACTGACTCTAAAAGTGAAAGGAGTCTTTTTCTCTGGTGTTCCTCTCGAGCCCAAACGCTCTGCAAAGGGATTATTTTGATAAATGCTTCTTTACTTCACATCAAATGTAAATTAGAGAATTTCTTGACTTTGGAACTGAAATATTATACAGTATGTTAGACTGGATACTTTATTTTATACTGAGTTTTAGTCCTACAGAAGATAATTTAGTGTGTTCGAAGTCAAGTTTAGGTTTAGGTTATAATTTTGGCAGGAAGAAATTACACACTGAATGGAAGATAATCTCTGAAATTTTCATGTGTTACTCAGTACTTAGCTCTTTTTATCTGGATATAAAAGCTACAGCAGTGGGATTCAGTACATTTCCATGTACTAGTATCATTATCTTTTTAATATATATGAAATGAGCAGTTTTTACAGAAACAATAGTAATGTTTTACTGACAAATAATCTTGCTATATCCAAACAAAAGAAACATATGTAAGAATACTAAAACTGTGTATGTTTAGCATTTATTAAGTTTCTTACAGGAGGAAACCAAATTTTTAATTCTAGATTTCTAAGTTATATCATTTAGTTGTGCTCCAAAGAATCTACCACTAAAATATCAGCTTCATAAAAACAAAAACCTTGACTATCTCCTTCACCTCTGAAAGCCTTACCATGTGGCACATGGTAGGTGCTCACTTCACTACTTACAATTTTTTTCTGAATGAGCTGAATCACAGAGTGTGTAGTGAAGATTGTCTCTCACAAGTAAACCATTTTGCAAGGAAAAAATGAGAAACAACTACACTTGCAGTTTTCCCTTTTAAAAACATGAAAAATTTACATTTTAGTCTAAGTTATGATTTTTTTTTAAAGAAAGATATTATCCCTTGTTTAGACTCAATTATGGCTAGATAGCTTGTATTTACACTGCTTCAACAACAGCCGGCATATGGAAGTGCTTAATAAATGTCAATTAATAAAGGGGACAAAATTGCATCAAATAAACTTATCAGTTATCCACAGTGGGGCTGAAATGGTCAGAAAGCAATGAGCGACTTGCCTAAAAATTGCAAAATATCACAGAGGAGACAAAATAAGAAAGCTTATTTAAAAGTGGACTTTGCAAAGGAAAAAATGTGGTCAAAGCTCTCTCTTCCCAGTGGAATGTGTACCTACACACACACACACACACACACACACACACACACACACACACAAATACACAGGATCACTGCCTTTTTAATAGCTTTCCTGTTCAGTTTCAAAAACTATAAACAGTAGTAGATTTGATAGATGCTAAAAATAGGCCTCGTAGTTTCTGTGCCTTGAAGTTTTTCCTCATTTATAATCTTATTTTCAACTCTACCAGCTTCAAGGCACAATTTATCTTCTCATCTGAAGTAAGCACAGTTCCTTTAATGAACAAGCCCAGAGTGATAAGCAATTGCAGTGAAGACTGATTCCAGCCTTCCAAGGGTATATACAACTCTCCTCTGTAACATCATTCACAGTTGTTCAGGGTTACTCTTTTAAAAATACTTGTTTTGTATATTTCTTGCACTTGTTTCTTTTATGGCAACAATCTCTAAGTAATAGAAAATTTATGAAACATTTTCATTTTTCATAAAATGAAAAAGACAAGAATATATGCTTCTCTGAGAGACGAACTTAAGTCTCCCAGGAGATGGAGATGTTACTGCAGGAAGCATAATACCTGCTTACATTCAGGTTTGCCTAAATGGATAAAAGATGAAAGGCAATTGGCTTGAACTGCAGTCTGTATTTTCCCTCAGATCATTCCTAGGAAGTAGGTAATGCCCAAGAGAGTAAGTGGGTCAGTCTCTTGTCATTGAGGTTACTAAAATCAATGCATACTTTGGATGCCTATGGTTTATTCCTCCCAGCAGCAATTTAAGGAATATCTATTAAAGAAAAAATAAACTTAGTCCTCTCTAAGGCCTCTTTTTCCTAAAGGTTCTCAAAGAAATGTCAGCTGTATCCTGTCCTTTTCTGCAATCACCTTTCAAATGGAGAGGGTGGTAGCAAAAGGCTGATTTCCACTTGTAAGTGGTCAGAGGAGAGTGGAGGAGTGAACGGGAATGTACATTCCTCTGTGTTTTTGAGCTCCTCCCTTATGTCTCTCTTTTCAAAAGTGTGGCCCTTGGATTTCTTTGAAAAGTCATTCATTCTTTCTCTATGTCTCTCATGCACACACACCATTCCTTTGACCTCTAAGAGACCTTGTACAAGATGAATTGGGGCTGAGTTAAGGACTCTGCCAACAAAGGCACATAGAACATATTTGGGGAAGAACATATTTTAAATCTGTTTCTTAGAGAGCCTCCAGCCATTGGCACCACCCAGGAATAGAGAATTAGCCTGGAACAACAGTATTACTTGCAAAGGGTAACTAGGAAGGTTTTCAAGCTCCTCCATTGTCCAAATGCTCCTCATGGCCACCAGCCCTAAAGCTGTGGAGCCTGATGAGCTCCATTTCTTTGACCTAAAAAAAATTAAACTTCAAGAGTGCAGAAGGAGGAAGCAGAGCCTTTCCCAAACTTTCCATTCCCAGAATGTCCTTGGGGAAGGCAAGGAGACAAGAGGCACCTTGCAGAGTCGCTCTTGAGGAAAAAAAATCGTTTCCCAGCACAGAGGGCAATCTGGGACAACAAAACGGCGGTTTTATGACGGTGAAGCACCTGAGGCTGGAGCAGAGGGAGAGGGGAGAGAGGACCAGACTACTCGTGCCTCCCGAGTTTCTCAGCACCACGGACAGCACCTACGCCCAGCATGGGTACTACCAGCGTGGAAAATACGGAAGTCTACCCTTTTACAAAGCAAGAGTTAGGCAAGGGAAAGAGTTGAGAGGGAGTTGGTGCAAAAACCAAAAGGTATGACTCTGATGATTGTTTTGCTCTCTACAAACTTTGAATAAATTCTGACTGAGTAAAGAAAAGGTAGAATGGACAAATGTGACGTATTCCCCTTGGTGACAATGTCCCATGTCCTTTACACAGATGAAAGTAAGGTACCAT